GGGACTGGGATTATGGTGGCAGTCTTCATGCAAGTGGGAACTGTTGCCAGGGTAAGTGAGGAGTTAAAGGTGTCGGCCAGCACCTCACAGAGCTGGTCGGCACAGTCTTTCAGCACCTTCCCGGGGATGTTGTCTGGGTTAATCCTCCTGAAAGTACTCCTCACTTCGGCAGAGATCACGCTGAGAAGCCCTTCCTCCGGTGGTGAGGTTAGTCTGGTGCTGGGTGGTCTGTTCGGGTCTTCAAAGTGTGCGTATAACCTGTTGAAGGCATCAGGCAGTGATGGGTCTCTAGGGCATTGTTCACTTCATTGTATCTGTTATACACTTAATGCCCCTCCACATGCTCCGTGGGTCTTGTGAGGTGAATTGACCCTTGGTCCTCTGTTCATATGTGGCCGTGGCCCTCTGAATACCAGCAACCAGCTATTTCCCTGTTCTCCTCAGCTCCTGAGAGTTTCCAGACCTGAAGGTAGCGTTCCTGGCTTCCAGCAGGGTGTGAACCACTGCATTCAGCCAAGGCTTTCTGTTCGGGTAACTCTTAACTTATCTGATGGTGGTGATGTCATCAGCACATTTACTAATGTTACCCCAGAACTGAGGATGTGTATTGCTCCAGGTCTAGCGCCTCCTCATTTTCAGCAGCTTATCTGAAGACCTACCTGCCAATCTGTGTGGTCAAAACAGTCTTTCAGTATGGGCCACTATTCTGGATCCAAGATTGAACTTTTTTTTTTGTACCCATCTGGAGCATCTCAGCGGGGAGAGGTAAGCAGGAGCCAGGAAGATTGAGATGTGATCAAAGAATCCTAGGTGGGGGCAGGGTTCGGCTTTGTATGCATCTTTTACATTCGTGTAAACACAGTCCAGCGTGCTGTTTCCACGTGTTGGTATGGCCACATGCTGGTAAAATCTTGGGAGACAGCCTTTTAGATTGACGTGATTAAAGTCACCAGCCACTATGTAAAGAGCCTCAAGGTGTTTCCTCTGCAGTGAGTTGAAAATATCATGCAGCTCCCGCAGAGCTTCGGTAGCATTAGCATCTGGAGCTATGCAAACAACTGTTATGAAGGCCACTGTGAACTCGCAGGGTAGATAGTTTGGTAGACATTTCACTGTGAGCTGATCCAAAGCCTTGGTGCAATGATGGTTTATCAGCATACAGTTTGTGCACCAACTTTTACTCACTGGACTTTTACTCACTGGATCAAGTTTTTCAGCCCTGGAGTTTCATGCCTCAGACTGACCCACTTTAAATCACAACATATTATTATTAAAATCATGTAATTATAACTTTTCATCAGGGGAGATTATATAAGATGCCTTTTAGGGATGTTTAACCCCCAGTTCTGACAATAGCTCTTGGCTTGAACAACATGGTGACCATTGGCGTTCAAAGCATTTGTTATGTGGGAGGGGCACACTGGTGGGGGTGTCTGGGGGTTCTCCCCCAGAAAATTTTGAATAAAGTATATGCCATTTCTTGCATTCTAGTGTATTTTAACAGGTTGTTTAACATCTAGTTTTACCTACATAAGTAAACTCTTGATTCAATAACTATTTTAGAGTTAATGGCACAACAAGAAGTAGCCTGACCAACAGCTCTCCTTGTGTGAACAGACTTCTCCACTTCTCTCACGCATCTGAGCCACAGTCTAAGAAACATAGTGTAGCATAAGTTAACTTTTAGGGAAAATCATTCCTTCTTACCAATGGCCTAACATAAAGCAATATGATCATCATCCATTGTGTTTAATATTAACTTAAAATACCTGACTGAAACTCCAGTAGTGGGCTAGGTCTACAGTAATCTTACCCAGTTGTAGGGTCAAGAGACAAATGTAGCATTAACACAGTATAAACAACATTCAGGAATTGTTTCTACAAAAACGTTATCAAATATTTTACATGAACGGCATAATCAATTCACCCAGGAGAAAATGTAACCCAAGGTGAGCTAACCTCGGACAAACTAACAAAGATAGCTATGATGGTGGAGGTAGTGAAGCTCATGGAGTTACCTGAGGCATTTCTGCCTTATCAGCCAACATTACGGCAAAGAAGACAGGCAAAAAACAAAAAACAATTCTAAGCTACTAATAACTTAAATTAGTTACTGAGATTTTTTGATGCCACAAAGCAACACAGGGCAAGAACTTACAGTGAAATTCAGTATGCAAGTGTAACCTTTACATTATACAACTTATTAAACACTGTGTTCAAATTCAGTTTAGTTTGAACAATGACCAAACTTTTGCAACCAGAAGTTACAACATATATCTACATAAAAACACAAAACAAAACACAACTAGCTTTAAGCATTAACCTTTAATTAAAACATTAAGCAAGAAATGTAATTATGACAGAAAATGGAGGATTTACTTCCAGTTACCTTGGTACTAAAGCTAGGCGATATGGGCCAAAATTTATATCTCCATATTTTAAGATAAATCGCGATATACGTTATACATCTCAATATTTTTTCTTTCCATAAAGTAATAACAAAAATATATTTCTGAGTCAAAGTTTTGTCCCGGTTGTCACACAGCCACATTTATTAAAAACAGCTGTAACTGTACAAAATAAATGCCTAAAAAATAAACTATTTACATATACTAAATAGTTTATTTTTTAGACATCTATTTACATATATTAAATAATAACTTCAGCTGGAGGCAGCTGTGGCTGAGAGGCTAGAGCAGTCGTCCTCCAATGGGAGAATTGGGGGTTCGATTCCACCAGCGTTCATATGCTGAAGTCCTGAGTGACACACTGAACCCCTCATTGCCTCCGATGTGTGTCCCATTGGTGTATGAATGTGATTATCAGGTCTCTCTTGTAAACGAGTCCCAACGGGATTAACCTGTCTAAATAAAGGTTGAATGACTGAATGATAAAGCAATGGTTATTCTTTGTAGCGATTTAGTAGAGTGCATGAATGGGTAAATAAGTGTGTGTGTGTGGGTGGGTGGGGGTGGGTGGGTGTGGGGGGCTGGGGGAAAAAGACAGCAGGAGGATTTCCAAGTATAAAACTATATTGTTTTATATCGAGATACTCAACTTATATCGCCAAAAAAATATATATAGATATTTTTAAAATATCGATATATAGCCCAGCTCTACTTCGTACAGATAAACATGTGGTACGCTCTGTTTATAACTTGTAATCAGCTGCTCATGGGGTCGGCCACTGGCTTTTTACATTTTTTCCAAACTCTGTATAGTTTTTGAAAAGGAATAAACTGCATTCCACCCTCTAAAGGCTCAGGCTAACATGTGTCTGTATTAAATTTTTCTCACTGACAAGGTTTAAACATTTTTTCCTGAGGATTTTTCATAAAATCCCTCTGACCATGGGCTGCATATCTGCAGGTAAAGGGTGTTTACCTTTGGGACAAATTGAGGTAGCCGATTGGTCAATTGCTGACACGCCTACTGGATTGATTAACAGGTGGCCATGAGGATTTGACTCGTGCAAGAAATAAATAAATAAAATAGAGCTGCTGCCGGCCATGGGTGGAGGCGAGGCAGTCCCGGTGCAATAATTCTGGTGTTCTATGTTTTTTTTTTTCTTCTGTGTTTTAATGTTGTTAATAAAAAGTTCTAAAAAAAAACAATAATAATAATACAGGGAGCGCCGGACCTGCAGCCCATGCATCAGACCGGCCCACCTGGAAATGCCCTGGTCCTCCCAATTAGCCACTCTGGACCTGACTCCCTCCCCCAGCTTATGGTTTGTACATTTGTGAAAATAATGAAAACTGTGAATTACCCTTAGCCTCCCTTTAACCCAGTCCTTCTCAAATAGTGGGGCATGCCCCCTGGGGGGGCCCAGAGCAATGCCAGGTGGGGCGCGTGTTACCCCGGGGAACATTTTGCAGCAGGGAGTTTTTTGTTTTTTGTTGCACTATTCTTATTTTGACAGGGTGCGTTCAGCAACTGTTTGCTCATATGTTTACTAATAATAAAGTTATGAATAATTATGACTGCCTGTTTTGGGCGTCATGCTTGAACCGTGTCGCTCCCCTCTGCTGCTGAGATGATAAATAAATAACCCAGACACCTTTGCTGCTGTTTTTTATGATGCTCTGGCCGCTCGTCACCCACAGCACATATGTAACAAAGAGTATAAACTCAAAGCGAGAGCTACACTTGCTCCCTCTATTACCTTTTGCATTGACAACATTTTTTTAGTTTTATCAATGATTTTGTCAAAGCACAATTTTGATGCGTTTTTTTGTTGTTGTTGTAAATACAGAAATAATGTTTAATAAATGTTAGGACTCTACTCTTTGCTAACAAAATATATTTTATGTCATTAAATAACTTGTTAGGTTCTTCTCTTGTGAGCATGCACAATCCCCTGGACCTTTGCAGCGAACACACACATGCATGCACAACTTTTCATTTTAAATTATTTGAACAACTTCAAGCAACTTTTCCTCATTTAACAGAATTATTCTAGTGTAGTTTTGGAGAAATATTGTTTACATATTTTAAATTTAATTAATTATCAAAATCTTATTTAATTACTGGTTGTAATGGGGCAGTTGTGGCTGAGTGGTTAGAGCAGTCGTCCTCCAATGCGAGAGTTGGGGGTTCGAATCCACCAGCAGTCACATGTCAAAGTGTCCCTGGGCAAGACACTGAACCCCTCATAGCCTCTGATGTGTGTCCCATCAGTCTATGAATGTGATCTAAAGCACTGATTAGTCTATTTAGAATGATTTGTTCAATTAGCTTTGTAGAGATCTAGTAGAGCACTGTATGAATGGGTAAATGTGGCACAGATTGTAGTGTAAAGCGCTCTGAGTATCTTGAAATAAGATAGAAAGGCGCTATATAAGAACAGTCCATTTACCATTTACCATTTAATGCAAAATGTAAAGATTACTATGAGGGATAAATACATACAGTACAGTACACAAGGCACTGGATTTTTTAATACATACAATGTTATTTCTATATTATACAACTTTTTATTTGTATCTGAGGATACTTACGTTTGTGTGGCGTCACCAACAGATCGAGTGTTTTTTGAGAAAGACTTGGCCACACTGTAGACAATTCCTTCTTTAACTGAGCGTCCAATAATCGCTGGGCCACTATTCCTAGAATTCCACATTGAAACAACAAGTTCAAAGACACAAGTTCAAAAGCACAAGTACAGTCTTATAAATACAAACAAAATAAAATAATGATCCAGTGGTTCCATAAATGTTCAGTCCAAAGCAATTCCATCATTTAATGGATCTCCTCATGATCCAGTATCTGTAAAGGTCAAAGTGAATCTAATACTGCAAAGCTTTCCATTGATTCCAAATTATACTTTCATTTACTCATATTCAGCTTGGACACGAAACTGATAAATACCACATTTCATTTGTAAATGTAGTCAAAGTGGTTGACCCATGATTGTCTTTTGCTTCAGGATCTCAGGTCATAGATGTATTGGAGCAGTGATTCTTTACCAGGAACACAAAACTAATCAGCAGGACTAGGGTTTATGTTGGGCCTTTCAGTGCTCGTTTTCCTCCACTGTGTATTGTACGTAGTGTCTGTTAAGTGTTTTTCTTCAATGTGAGGATGTTTGTTTGTTGTTTGCCTGACCTGAGGCCAGTTTTATTTCCAGCGCTGTACGAATCAGGGCCATCAGGGTGGAGGTGAAGTGAACGGTGCTGTCGTCAGCAATGGGCATGTTCATTTTGACAAGGCGCTGAAGACAGGGTTAGGTAACATATGTCAGAATAAACATTCATTAAACTTCCTGATAAAAACAAACAATCCAGAGAAGTCTGTCTGTGTGCTACTGTGGAGGAGATGTTTCAGTGAACTCTTTTGGTGTTTTGCTCAATTTGTTGTTGAAATTTGGCCGTATTATAAAACCTAGGTCACACTCTGTTTAGCACACAAAAAAATCTTCTCTACAAGTATGTACAGACAAACTAGACATTCACATTCACTTCTTTCGGCTACAGTATACACAATGTTGCAAGTCAAAGTGCACTAGAGCAAGACTGACATTAACTAAAAGAAAGGCAACAGAAGGCATGTAACGCATAACCATGAGGTGCTTTGACAGTTGCAGGAGCTTGACTCTGTGGTTGCCACTATAGTGATCAACTTGAGAGTAAAGGAGGATGAACATGCTGCACATGTAAAGTGGCAGGTACCAATAAAATGTGTGCATGTTCACCAGAGTGGGCTAGTCTCAGCAGGAAGACAAAGGTAGTTTTACACAAAGGCTAATGGCACCAGTGGATACACGTGGAATACTGTAAAATTGCTGCCGTAAGAGTTGAGCTCCCCCTGAAGACAAAAAGCATTCTCCTACATGTGTTGGCAGTGCAGAGAAGGACCAGAGTCAGAATAAGACAGGGATGAAGAGCTGAGGGCCCAATACATACACACACACACACACACATTTGCACACATTTATACATGAACACTCAGGAAGCACAAACATTTGGGAATGAAATGAGAAAAATGAGCTGTTAGGTATATGTTCAGATGGTGGACACAGAAAACTGCTGGTAACAGTTGGACAATGTTGCCTGAAAACAGCAATAGTTACTTGTTGTACAATGAAACTCATTATAGACACCACTAAAAAAATCTACAAAAGAAAAGAAAAACTATGAAAAAGTTTGTAATTGTGTTTCTTAAATGCTTCTGGTGGCTTTTCACTAAAAGCCAGATAATATGACCATTTGTCAAAAAGGATTTTCCTCCCAGGCTCTCAGTGAGGTGGCAGCTACTGTTTCTCCTCCCCCGTTTTTTTCCTTCTTCCTTCTGCTCTCTGTCTGTCTGAAGTGCCTGGGTCTCATCTCCCGAACATAAATTAAGAAGATTATGGATTTGGTATCGTGGGCGTTCAACTCTATTGATAAGATTTTTTCATCAAAATGACAAGGTCCTGGAGAACCTGCGTGTCCAGCTGAGACTCACGCTGTGGGGTATGTCATGGATTCGTGGGGAGTGTGGCAGCAGATGTGCATCACAGTTTTGTCTCAGGAGGATGTTGAAGACGTTTACATATTTGGATTTATGATAGCAGGGACTCTGCTTTTTGGCATCGGTGGGGCTCTGTTTCATCAACTTTTGAAGAAGACATCAGGAGCAGTTTCGGCCATGGAAAAGCTTCCGAGTCAGTGTGAAGGTCTGGTCCTCGCTGTGGGAACTTTAAATCGTCTGGTTTACGAGCTTAACCGTAAGGAATGGAATCCCACAATTAGGCATTTTCGGAACCAGAACGCCCAGATGGACTCAAGGCTGAATAAAAAAATCTGGCTGCCTGAAGAAAAAACAAAAATCAAGTTTATCTGAATCAGACTCCTGACGGCCTCGGAGATGGGCTGACTATCAAATTTCTCCTGGGACATGAGTACCCAAGGACAAAAGCTTCATCTATTGCACACACACACACCCCTCCCCTGCCCCCCGAGAACTTTCTGTGCAAGCTTATCAGAACTGCTGGCTGGAACAACAGCTTCAGAAACTGTGGCTGATCTGAAAAAATGCTCATGGACAAATCTCAACACCTCAATGTCAAATGCAAATGTAATCATGTTTTAATTGTGCTTGCTGGTAGAGTTTTTTTGATGTCTCAAATTGTGTCCTGATAGACAAGATGAGAAAGATCTTTGTTGTAATACCACTATCTACCCTCATGTTTCTCCCCCTTTTCCTATCTAAGATTATTATTTGATAAGGATAAGAAGGCCGCGCTCTCCTGTAGTTGCAGCTTTGTGCACTCCGCCCATCTTTCGGACGACTGTACGCACATATTTGCGTTGTACCTCGGTGCAATTCCAATAAAGTTTATTCTGATTCTGATTAAAATAATTACTATGTGGAAAAAAGGGATTAACATGCTGACTATGACAGATAAAAACAAGATAAGTTTCTGTCAGAACAGAGAAATGTACACATTAAACATGAGCTTTTCTAAATAAAAAAAGACCTAATAATAAATTTAATTATTAATTATAATTAATTACTTCACCACCTGCTCTTGCCGAGGTTGGACGCTTATTCCCCTCCCTCTCCGCTTTGCTGTTCTGCTCTATCTGTCTGTAAAACTGCTTCTGAGCCTCTCTTTCATATCTTCCAAACCATAATCATGGACTTGATTTGATCAGTTGGTCCCTCAACACAATTGATAACATTTCTTCGAAGACAGGCTTTAGGCGAGCCGATTTGCCCCATTGGCACGCACGCAGCTGGATATCTCATCGACTTGGAAGACTGGATGATGTGTCTATCTCTGCTGCCATTTGTGGATTTTAAGGACACATTTATAATTGGATTTATGATAACTGGTTCCTGCTTTTTGGATTTGGATTGTCGCTGGTTTATCTACAAACAAGGAAGTCACTGGCAGCAAATTTGGACCCGATCATGGTGCTTGCCTTATGATGGCTTGGTTTGTGCCTTGAGTACCCAGACTCAAATGTTTTGGGTAGAATGGATCAGATCTCGAGGATTTTACTCAGGCACATTCTTTTGGTGTGGCCATGTAATTAGGACATTTCAGAACCCGAGTGGACCAACACAAACTCAAGGTAGACGTCATTAAGTTCTGCCTGTCCGCAACATAACTGTGTGTTTATCTGAATTTGGCTCCCCTGGCTGGCCTTGAAGGCCATCTTATCTGAAATTGCCTGGAGAACATGTAATCTGATGCTCTGCCCCACCCTCTCCCCCCAATCATCAAGGAATTTCCAACTGATAACCATAAGAAAAGAGCTGAATAAACATTGTGTCATCATTTCATGACTCTTGGATTCCCATAGGCGTTGTCCTTGGCCATTCCCCGACATCCCTCGAGCATGTTTACAGATATCACCGGAGGGAACTGGTTGATTATTACATCCTTATCAGAACTCTAAACAGTGTCCTCGAGTGTATCCTTGAACATTGCTCGTTTAAGAGGCCACCATGAATAACCTGTTTGAAGTACGTCTACCATTTACTTTACATTTTATATGCTTTTGTATGATTGACTACTGTTGTCGTCTGTGTTCTTTGTTTAAAACAGACTCTTGTAAATGAGTCCTTGAAGCTCAGTGAGACTAACCTGTATAAATAAAGGCTTAATTGAATTCTTGGTACCACTTTACAATAAGCCCCCCCCCCCCCCCCCCCCTATAGATAGCTAATAAATAGTTTATAGATATATTATTAATTCCTCTATAAACACTTTATAAATTATTAATAACTGCTTATTGTGCATTAATTAAGGGTGATAGAGACAAAACTGACCAGTTTCTTAATGAAAATGTGAAAGTATTCTCATCCATTGACGTTTGCCACATTCTGTCATGTTACAACCACAAACTAAAACCCCAAAATATTTTACTGGGATTTTATGTGATAGACCAACACAGGGTTAAAGAAAACAATAATGGTTTTCAAAATGTTTTATAGATAAAATCTGAAAAGTGTGTGTACTGGGTATTTATATTAAGCTCCTATGAGCTTTCACCTCAGAAACAGTTCACCTCAGCTCAAACAGAAAAAGAGTTCACCTCATCTCAAACAAACATCATTCCTGTGTTTTGTGTTTGAAACTATTACAAATAAGATTCATCTATTCCCTTGGGAACAAACAGACATTGTTTTGCAGGTGTTCAACTCAGCTCACAAACTTCTCAGTTGACACTAATATGAATGTAATAAAAAAAAACTGTCACTGTGTTAACCTCTGCCAATATGAACCAATTTCCCATAAAATGGACAGATCGTTTTAATGAGAGTTTTGGTTCAACTGATTTCGATGTGTCGAAACATCCGAACTCGCTACGTTGAGATTTTGCCTTTATCGGGAAGGAGTATTCCTCCCAGAATGGTTTCCCATGAAGATAACATTAAAGAACCCTTTGTTTAATGACATTCCCTTTTCAGGAGATGGACAGCGACACTTTTTGGTGAAACCATCCACCCATCCATTTTCTTCCGCTTATCCGGGGTCGGGTCGCCGGGGTAGCAGCCTAAGTAGGGAGGCCCAGACTTCCCTCTCCCCAGCCACTTGGGCCAGCTCTTCCGGGGGAATCCCAAGGCGTTACCAAGCCAGCCGAGAAACATAGTCCCTCCAGCGTGTCCTGGGTCTTCCTCTGGGCCTCCTTCCGGTGGGACGTGTCTGGAACACCTCACCAGGGAGGCATCCAGAAGGCATCCTAAACAGATGCCCAAGCCACCTCAACTGGCTCCTCTCGACATGGAGAAGCAGCGGCTCTACTCTGAGTCCCTCCCGGATGATCGAGCTTCTCACCCTGTCTCTAAGGGAGAGCCCAGACACCCTGCGGAGAAAACTCATTTCGGCCGCTTGTTTCCGAGATCTCATTCTTTCGGTCACAACCCAAAGCTCGTGACCATAGATGAGGGTGGGAACGTAGATCGATCGGTAAATTGAGAGCTTCGCCTTTTGACTCAGCTCTCTCTTCACCACGACAGACCTGTACAGCACCCGCTTCACTGCAGATGCTACACCTATCCGCCTATCGATCTCACGCTCCATTTTTCCCCTCATTCGTGAACAAGACCCCAAGATACTTGAACTCCTCCACTTGGGGTAGGACCACCTCCCTGACCCAGAGAAGGCACTCTACCCTTTTCTAGCTCAAGACCATGGCCTCGGATTTGGAGGAACTGATCGTCATCCCGGCCGTGTCGCACTCGGCTGCGAACCACTCCAGCGAAAGCTGTAGATCACAA